AACTCAAAAAAAAAAAAAAGAAACTTTTTTTTAGTTGGAGTCTCACTTTGTCACCCAAGCTGGAGTGCAGTGGCACACTCATAGCCACCGCAGCCTCCACCTGCTGGGCTCAGGTGATCCTTCCATCTCAGACTTCCAAGTAGCTGTAACAGGCACACGCCACCAAGTCCGGCTAATTTTTTTCTTTTTTTTCTTTTGAGTTGGAGTCTCACATTTTGTCGCTCAGGCTGGAGTGCAGTGGCATGCTCATGGCCATCACAGCCTTGACTTGCTGGACTCAGATGATCCTCCCTCTACCTCAGTCTTCCAAGTATCTATGTGTCACCACACCCAGCTGATTTTTTGATTTATTGTAGAAATGAAGTCTTGTCAAGTTGCCCAGGTTGGTCTCGAACCCATGGGTTCAGGCAATTCTCTCACCTCGGCCTCCCAAAGTTGAGATTATAGGCGTGCTGAGATTATAGGTGTGAGCCACTGTGCCCAGCCAACAAGTAACTTCTTATCCCTGTAAGTCAGAGAAGCCTGAGTGGTCTAGTGGAAAGGAAAGCATTTTTCACAGACTTAATTGTTGATTCATCCCATTAATTTAAAAAACAAAAACAAGCCAGGCTCAGTGGCTCAGCCTGTAATCCCGCGCCTTTGGGAGGCTGAGGTGAGTGGATGGCCTGAGCCCGCGGGTTTGAGACCCGCCTGGGCAGCGAGACCTCATCTCTACAATAAATCAAAAAATCAGCTGGGCGTGGTAGCGCATGCCTGTAATTCCGGCTACTTGGAAGGCTGAGGCGGAAGGATCGCTGGAGCTCAGCAGGTCGAGGCTGCGGTGGCCAGGAGTGGCCACTGCACTCCAGTCTGGGTGACAAAGTGAGACTCCAACTCAAAAAAACCAAACATTATCACATTCTAGGCAAAATGCCAGGTTCCAGGAAGACAGTGGGACAGTGGTGTTCTTTGTCCTCAGGGAGTACTATTTATTGATTTTGAGCAGATGTTCCCCCCTTGAGTTTACTTCCCCATGCGTAAAAGGTGATGGGAATAATACCTATTCCATATTCTGCAAGTATCACTGTTCTGTATCATAGTTCTAGCAGGAGAGTCGAATTTCTTGGGTGTGCTGAGTGGAAAAAACTGCTTATCTAGTTCATGTTCTTCACGTGTAGGTGACAGCATATGGCTCAGGAGATTAATTGACCATTCTGGTTCTTTTTTTTTTTTTTTGAATTGGAGTTTCACTCTGATGCTCAGGCTAGAGTGCAGTGGCATGCTCACGGCTACTGCAGCCTCAACCTGCTGGACTCAGGTGATCCTTCCACCTCAGCCTTCAAAGTAACTGGAACTACAGGCACGTACCACCATGTCTGACTAATTTTTCTTTTTTTTAATTGTAGAGATGAGGTCTTGCCAAATTGCCCAGGCTGGCCTTCAACCTGTGAACTCAGGCAGTTCTCTCACCTTGGCCTCCCAAAGTGCTGGGATTATAGGCGTGAGCCACCACACAGTCTGGTTCTCTTAAAATCCTTTTACAGCTTTGGGGTTTTTTCTTCTCTTCCTCCCGGCCTGTGTGCTCCAGTCCATCCAGTCTCAGCATTCCAGAGCCTAATGTGAATGTATTAATTTTGTTCAAGCTGAGTGTTTCCTTAGCTGCTCACAAATGCCATCTCCCGTCTTGAAATCCAGCTACCCAGCAACTCCCAAATACCTCCTCTGTAAGGTCATGGCCCCTCAACTGGATGAGGCCAAGTTCTCTGGGAATCTCATAGCCCTTGTACCTTGGCTTTTTATTATGATCTTTAATCTGTGAAAGTTTCATTTCACCCTAGATTGTAAATTGTATCCTCTTGCTTTTTTCATCTGCCTGGTGCTTTGGGCAATGCCTTGTAACAGATCTGATAAATACTCTTTAATTGAATTGAATTCTTGAGTCAGTTGAAAGGCAACATGATAGCAATAACATCTGACCAACCTAGGAATACTATGTAGTAATGAGGCAATGAATACTAAGCAAATTCTGGCAATTTTTTCTTTTTTTTGAGTCAGGGTTTTACTCTGCTGCCCCGACTAGAGTGCAGTGGTGGGATTATAGACATGAGCCACCGCTCCCAACTGGGAAAATTATTATTACTTTTTACCTTTTTTGCCTCGCGACTCCTAGTGTTGAAGAATATAATCGCTGTTTTCAATTTTTTGAAGGTCTGTGCAGTGAAAAACATTCTGTATTGCTCTAGGCAGCATAACTACTAACAAAGGAAGGAAGCAGATTTCAGTTCTGTAGGAGCAGAGCTTTCTTTCTTTCCTTTTTTTTTTTTTTTTTGAGTCAGAGTCTCACTCTGTTGCCCAGGCTGGAGTACAGTGACACACTCACGGTCACCCCAGCATTAACCTGCTGGGGTCAGGCAACCCTTCCGCCTCAGCCTTCCAAGTAGCCAGAACAATAAGCATGCATACTTGGCTAATTTTTGATTTATTGTAGAGATGAAGTCTCACAAAGTTACCCAGGCTAGTCTTGAACCTCTGGGCTCATGCAACCCGTTCACCTCAGCCTCCCAAAGTGCTGGGATTACAGGCTTGAGCCACCATGCCCGGCTGGAGGCAGAACTTTTTAACATGTCCAACAGTAGAGCAGGCTGCATTTCTTGAGGTTGTGAACTCCCTGACATTTGAATTGTTGAAAGAGTAAAATGACTGTCTGGCTGAAAGTAGAAGAATGCCTGGGTGGGAGTTGCACTAATGACTTTTAAGGAGGCATCTTCTGATTCTAAGGTTTCTAGGACTGTTCAAGTCAGCTAACTTAACCTTGACCTTTGAATATATCCAAGTTTTTTGTTTGTTTGTTTTTGAGTTGGAGTCTCATTCTGTCGCCCAGGCTGGAGTGCAGTGGCACACTCATGATCACCATAGCCTCAACCTTCTGGGCTCAAGTGATCCTTCTGCCTCAGCTCTCCAAGTAGCTGGTACTATAGGCGCATGCACCCGGCTAATTTTTTGATTTATTGTAGAGACGAGGTCTTGCCAAGTTGCCCAGACTGGTCTTGAATCCCTGAACTCAGGCAATTCTCTCACTTCTGCCTCCCAAAGTGCTGGAATTACATGCATGAGTCATCATGCTGGACTTTTTTTTTGATTCAGAATGTTACTCTGTTGCCCAGGCTGGAGTGCAGTGGCATGCTCACTGCTACCGCAGTGACCTGCTGTGCTCCGGTGATCCTTCTACTTCAGCCTTCCAAGTAGCTGAAACTACAAATGTGTACTACCATCCTTGCTTATTTATTTATTTATTTATTTATTTATTTATTGAGTTGGAGTCTCACTCGGTCGCCCGGACTGGAGTGCAGTGGCCGCTCCCGGCCACCGCAGCCTCGACCTGCTGGACTCCGGCGATCCTTCCGCCTCAGCCTTCCGAGTAGCCGGAATTACAGGCGCACGCTACCACGCCTGGTTAATTTTTTGATTTATTGTAGAGATGAGGTCTTGCCTGCCCAGGCGGGTCTCGAACCCGCGGGCTCAGGCCATCCACTCACCTCAGCCTCCCAAAGGCGCGGGATTACAGGCTGAGCCACGGAGCCCGGCTAATTTTTTTTTTTTTTTTTTAATTGTAGAGCCGAGGTCTTGCCAAGTTGTCTAGGTTTGGCTCAAACACTTGGGCTCAGGCAACCTTCTCGCCTCTGCCTTCCAAAGTGCTGGGATTCGTGAGCCACCATGCCTAACCTTCAATATACCTGAGTTATTTTGTTTACAAATTTATTAGACAAATTAACAATTGACTTACTTAAAATAACTGTATGGTCAAGCTTACAATAAGTAAATTTTTATAAAATAGGAAGTGGGAAACCATTTTTTCTTTTTTTTGAGTTGGTGTCTCACTCTGGCTGGAGTGTAGTGGCACACGCATGGCCACTCCAGCCTCCACCTGCTGAGTTCCGGCCATCCTTCCGCCTCGGCCTTCCAAGTAGCCGGAACTACAGGCACGCACCGCCACGCCTGGCCAATATTTTGATTGAAGAGATGAGGTCTCGCCAAATTGCCCAGGCTGTTCTCGAAACCGTGGGCTCAGGCAATCGTCTTGCCTCCGCCTCCCAAAGTGCTGGGATTACAGGCTTGAGCCACCCTGCGCTGCTACTTTATACGTAAAAACATTTAAAAAATTGTGTCTGTCACTTCAGGAAAGAGAATTAACGACACTTTTAAAAACTTGAAAGTAGAATTTATTGAAAAGACACAAAAGCTCCCACTGTTGGAGGGGACCTGAAGGGTTTGCCCTAGTGGCCCTTTTAACAGGGAGGCTTGTGAGGGCTGTGTGATAGAGATTCAAATGATGTGTCCTGGGCAAGTGAGAGTTGTTATAGAAAACGTAAAACGCTCTGAAACTGCACACTACACGGACTTGCTCAGGCGCATTTTCCACCAGCATGACTGTACGCGGAAGCGAGGGCCTAGGCTTCGTGAACACGTTGCGGAAGGCGAGGGGGCTCCAGACGCGCTCCAGCGCTCCAGCGGGCAGCCCAGCCCGGGCCGCCCAAGGCGGAAGTGGGAGCCGCGGGCTCCCAAGCCGGACTACTACTCCCAGGGGCCCCCGCGGCCCCGCGCACGCGCGCTGGCGTGGCGGCAGCGCCGCTGCAGGACGCAGGGAAGCCAAGTAGCGAGTGGCGAAGGTGGCGGCGGTGGCAGCAGTGGCAGTTCGCGGTGAGGGCGACGGCTCCGGCACCGAGTGGCGGTCCGGCCGAGTCCTCGGTGTCCTCCTCCGCATGAGCCCCTTGGTGAGCACGCGTCCCGGGTAAACCCGCGCGGAGTGCGCGGCTCCCTGCCTAGTGGCCGGGTAGCTCCGGCCTAGGGCCGCAGTCTGCGCCTGACGAGCCCGGCCGTCCGGTCCAACTGACCCTTGGGCCCAGGCCCTTCCCGTCAGTGTCGGGCGAGGTGGGGGCTGGTGGGACACTCGGTTAGGTCCCAGGAGAGAGATCTAGCAGCGCGCAGGAGCCTCGGAGGCTTGGAGTTGATGAGAGGGAGGGACGCGTGGGGGATGGGATGGGGAAGGGACAGGAGGACTGCGGGGCGGCCTCGGGTGGGGACGGAGGGAGCCACCTGGCAGGTGGGGACCCGAGTCCTGGAGGCGAGAACGAGATGGAATGTGTTCTGAGTGTCGCTAATGAAGATGTGTTTTGGGAAAGCTCAACAAGCTGGACGCCGGCTCTGGGGGCAACCCACCGCCCCGGACACGCGCTCTACGGTTGGCATCTTTCCAGTTGCTGTTGGCGGTCTGGAAGTGAGGGACTGTTGGTTGCTTCCATTCCTTTTCTTCAACTTCAGCTTTTAATGACTGGCCAAATTGTAATGGGCGCTGGCTAGATGTACCACAGAAACAAATAGGGTTCTGTGTATAAATCTGTATAAAAACAGGGCGATGTGGTATATTCGTATGAGAGATAGGTCAAAGGAGGAATCAGTGTTTTTTATTTAAAATTTATGACAAAAATCAGTTTGAGCAGAGCTTTGAACTCGGGAGGGTTTTAAACTTAGAATTCATCAATGGATGATAGAATTCAAGGAGTCCTTGCTAGAGTGGGGGTAAAAATGACATCTTTATTTTTATTAACTGATAACTGAAATTTATTATTTTAATTATGAATGTAGGCAACAGACCACAGTAGAATTAGTAATGCCTGTGACTTTGTCATCAATAGATATTTTTGTATCATGTTTACAGTTATTGCATATAGCTCAAAATACCATGCTTATCACTTCTTTGAATTTATGGTATTACTAGATCCACTTGTTATTTGGATTAAGGTGTTGTTAGATCTTATTATTTAATGTGATAATAGATCTGCACATATATACTAAATCAGTTTATTGTTTTGCTGAGATTTCAGTAGCATTGGTTTCTTCTGTAATCACATGTATTTAAAAGCAATCTGAGAAGGGGGCCATATGCTTCACCAGACTGCCAAAGAAGTTCATGCACACAAAGATTAAGAACTCCTTAAATAGAAATAAGTTTTTTAGGATCTATAAGTCTGTGTGGGAGAATATTTGAATTAGGTAAGAAAGAAGACAAAGCAGACAGGATGCCAGTGTAGACAAAAGAGAATTTTGTAATCAGGAAGATAAAAGATTTGGATGGGATCAGAGTAGAAGTTTTGAAAGATAGAATAGACTACAGACATTTCTTTCAGGTTACTGGGAAATCAACAAAATAAACTGAGTAAGAAGGAGAAGTGAGTATTTTGACCCTTGGAGGTTTTTTTGGTTTTTTTTTGTTTTTTTTTTTTTGAGTTGGAGTCTCACTCTGTCACCCAGACTGGAGTGCAGTGGCCGCTCCCGGCCACCGCAGCCTCGACCTGCTGGGTTCTGGTGATCCTTCCGCCTCAGCCTTCCGAGTAGCCGGAATTACAGGCATGCGCTACCACGCCCAGCTGATTTTTTGATTTATTGTAAAGATGAGGTCTCGCTGCCCAGGCGGGTCTCGAACCCACGGGCTCAGGCAATCCACTCACCTCAGCCTCCCAAAGGCGCGGGATTACAAGTTGAGCCCGGTTACCCTTGGAGTTTTGTATTAAGGCAGCTCCCTAGTTCCAAGTGATTGAAACTCTACAAGCCTGTGAAAAGAAATTTTTCTGTTTCCTGGTTTTCCTTAAATCATGGAGATGGTTTGGCTTTGGCGGGGGAGGAGCGAGTATCCTAATTTCTCTTTTCTTTTTTGAATTGGAGTCTCACTCTGTCACCCAGGCTGGATGCAGTGGCATGTTCATGGCTCTTGCTACCTCAGCCATCCAAGTAACTGGAACTACAGGCATGTGTCACCACGCCCGGCTAATGTTTTGATTTATTGTAGAGATGAGGTCTCTCCGAGTTGTCCAGACTGGTCTGAACCCCTGGGCTCAGACAGCCCTTTCTCCTCTGTCTCCCAAAATGATGGGATTTTAGGTGCGTGCCACTGAGCCCGGCTCTTTCTAATCTTTTTTTTTTTTTTTTGAGTTGGAGTCTCACTTTGTCGCCCAGACTGTAGTGCAGTGACCGCTCCTGGCCACCGCAGCCTCGACCTGCTGGGCTCTGGCACTCCTTCCGCCTCAGCCTTCCAAGTAGCCGGAATTACAGGCATGTGCTACCATGCCCGGCTGATTTTTTGATTTATTGTAGAGATGAGGTCTTGCTGCCCAGGCGGGTCTCAAACCCGCGGGCTCAGGCAATCCATTCACCTCAGCCTCCCAAAGGCGCGGGATTACAGGCTGAGCCACCGAGCCCGGCTCTCTTTAATCTTTAAGTGAAAATCAGAAGAATCTTTCTTCAAATATATGTTCCTATTGCTACTAACGTTATTTTCGTATATAGCTTGAAATTTGTACCTGTTTGTAAAAGACCTGTCAATATCTTATGTTACAGTTTTTTCCCCCTCTAAAATTATAGCAGTAATATAAAACTCTGCAGCACACTTTTTTTCCCCCTGGGAAAAATAAAGGGTGACTAGGAAAAGGTGAATAAAACTACTTTTTGAAGCAGTTAATTGGTATTGAAATAGTTTATGCTGAATTGAATATATATTACAAGTCATTGCCTTGGAGAGATCCTCCTAGTCACTTTCTGTGTGTGTGTGTGTGGTTTTTTTTTTTTTTTTTTTTGG